GGTGCTGGTGATGCCTGGGGCCATCTTGGGGGCAAGCGGAAGAGAAGGAGGGGGAGGACGAGGAGGAGGAGGAGGAAGAGGAACAGAAAAGGAGGAGGGGAAGGAGGAGGAGGAACGCGGCGCGAGGAGGATGACGAGGAGCAGGGAGGCGGCAGGAAATAAGCAATGAAGGAACGGACGATGACAAGGAGGACGAGAAGTCGGGTTTTGGGCATATGTCGTGGTCAGGGGTTCTTCGAAGACTCGTAATGCCATTTGGGCGCCATCTTGGGGTCCTCTTAGGGTCCTCTGGGGGCTCCCTTGAGGCTCTCTTGGGGCTCTTTTGGGGAGTCTTGGGGCCCTCTTGGGGCTCTTTTGGGTGGTCTGGGCGACCTCTTGGGGCCATCTTGGATCCCTTCGCTCAAAAAGAGGAGGGTTCTAAGTTTATGCCCCCCCCTCGGAGGCCAAAAGGGGGGCGTCTTGTGGGCCCTCTTGGGCCGCTCTTGGAGCGCTCTTGGGCGCTTTGGGGGCCGTCTTGGGCCTCTCTTGGGGCTATGTTCGGCCATTTGGGGGCCATCTCGACGCCTCAAGAGCCCATCGGAAGCGAAAAAGCGAAAAAGGCAACACAACATTGATTTTCCGTCGGTTTTGAACCCATGTTTTCTTTTTGGATGGTCTTTGGAGGGCTCGGAGGGCACTTGAAACCATCTTGGTGCCGTCTTTGGGGCATCTTTGATGCGTGTCGCAGACTATCTTGAGCCATCTCGAAGTACCTTGGGCCATCTCGGGGGCCATCTCGGGTGTCTAAAGCCCTTTTGGAGCTAGGGCCACCTCGGACGCTCCAACCCCTCGAGCCCCCACCCGCCCAGACCCCGGGAGGAGGGGGGGAGGTAAGCCTCCCGAGCAGGGAAAGGAAGGAGGTTGGAAAAGGAAGCGCTCTGCGCCCAGAGGGCTGGTGGGATCTGCACAACCCGAACTCCGGATCGGTATAAACCCGTATTCCAGATCAGTATATGCACGCATTCCGGGTCAGTATATTATTTTTCCCTACCTAGGCTCTGCCTAGAAGGGTTCTTATTTTCTTTGCTTAGAGGGGCCCGGCAGTGTAACCCGCCCCGGGCGGTTCCCCAGTCCCTTGGGAGCGGTTCCCCCAATTGCGCCCTAGCTTTAGCTTTAGCATTAGCTTTAGCGTTAGCTTTAGTTTTAGCGTTAGCTTCAGTGTTAGCTTTAGCTTAGCTTTAGCTTAGCTTTAGCTTAGCTTTAGCTTAGCTTTAGCTTAGCTTTAGCTTAGCTTTAGCTTAGCTTTAGCTTAGATTTAGCTTAGCGTTAGCTTAGCGTTAGCTTAGCTTTAGCTTATATATAGTAGCTTTAGTTTAGCCTTAGCTTAGCCTTAGCTTCAGCTTTAGCTTAGCTTTAGCTTAGCTTTAGCTTAGCTTTAGCTTAGCTTTAGCTTAGCTGTAGCTTAGCTGTAGCTTAGCTTAGCTGTAGCTTAGCTTCAGCTTAGCTTTAGCTTAGCTTTAGCTTTAGCTTTAGCTTCACCGTTACTACTAATGCTGCTTTCCTAGGGGCTCCAACTCCTAGGTAGGGTCGCACTGGGATATTTTTTGGGCATCGATACGTGCATCGAACAAGGCCGATGCCGATATTCATCCGCACGGGACCAGATACCGATCCGGAATGGTGGCAGATAGTGATCTGCATGCTTCCCCTACAACCATTTCCGGATCAATCTACAACCATTTTCGGATCAGTATACAAGAACCCCCGGATCATAATACAACAGTATACAGCAATTGGTAGGTAATTGTACATATCTAAGAATACATGTATGTATGTATGTACGCGTACATATGTTTATACACACATATACGTACATACGTGCATCCAAACGTACAAACATATACGTATACGGCGATGTGTTGTTTGATCGGTTCATGTTTGCCGCCGCAATATTGTATTCAGCACGGTTCCCCGAGGAGATCGATGTTTTATTGTACGTCGTCATGGTGCACAGTTCGCTCTGGAAGGTGATTGATTGGGATCTTCACGCGGCTGAATTCTAGACGCTTCAGCATGGTTGTTTCTTCGTGCATTTCCCTGTTGCAATACAGTCAAGACGCTGAAATAAGGAACAGTTTGGGTTTGGAAGGGGCTCTATGTTCCTTAGGTTCCTCCAGTGCTGTTCCTATTGCCTTCCTGGGGCACGGAGGCGCTTACAGGGCCAAGAAGGGGCTTCGTTCCTTATTCAGCGTTCCTTCTTTCCGCAGCCCGATTGCAGTGGTGGCAGTGATTAATCGTAATTTCACAAGTTGATGTGTTACTCGGTTCCAGTAAAACGCGTGTTTGAGTTTTCATTGTTTCCAGTCCAGATTTAGGGTTTGGGTGTTCATTGTTGTGGTGTTTTTATTCCGTGGTTCCTGGAATGTGAGTACAGTTTTCTATTCTTTTACTTTCCGAATCATAAGGGTTGTAGCTGTCTGTTAAGCGTGAAGTTTTCTTTCAGCGAAAGTTGTTTTATTGTTAATTCATACGTGTGTATGTGTAGTTTGGCGGTTTGTAATTAAACTCGTTGTGCAGAAGTCAGCAAGCCGACAGGGGACGGACGTGGGTCCGTCACCGTTTTTGCTCAAGCTTTTAATTTGCGGCCACCGTCTATGCAATCCCTCGGGCACATTCTCTCGGGGGCCCACCACCTGGCCGCCGTCGCCGGCGGGCTCGCGTCGCAGTGGGCGAGCCAGGCCGGCAATTGCGTGGTGATCGCCAACAGCATCGGCGACTTGATGGTCGCCTTCACTTGTCTCTTCGCCGCAGGTCTGCTGCTGGGCTGTATCGGAGGTTGTCTCTGTTGCAAGGGCCTGGCTGTGAGCCATGGCCGCCTGGCGAGCTGGTCACAGGATCGGAGTCTTGTGGAAAGACGGAGAGGATTGGCAGACTCGCGTGCTCCTTTGTCCTGGAACCACTGCCGACGCCGAGAGCGATCTCCAGATGACTGGCCTGAAAGCAACGGGGGGAACGGCAACATATGGTACGCTCTCACACCCGACGGGGACGTGTACATCCACGTGCTGGAGCCCCCGGGAGTCCGGGGATCGGCGCTGTGCGATCCGATGGGCCTGCCCGAGCGGAGCGGACCCTTGCAGTTCGGGAGGACGTGGCGAGCAGGGGGCAGGATCTACGGACAGGAGTGGACCCCGACACCAGAGGAGTTCGTCGACGCGCTGCAGTTCGCGCTGGGCGGCTCCTTGTTCGAGGCAGCCCCGCAAGTGGCGGACAACACGGTCTCGGTGCTGCGACGGATGAGCAAGAAGGGGCCACTCCCAGCTGGCGCGGTCTTGGCTGGGGCAGCTCCTCCGAGTAGCTTTGTGCGTGGCTCGGGTGCCTTGCCGCCCGCGGTGGGGATGCGCTGGCAGGTTCAGGCCGCCAGTGGCCCAACACCCGAGCGCCGCCCGCTGCAGGACTACGACGTGGACGAGTACTGCACCGCGGGCGGCTTCGCGCTGGCGTCTCAGGAGGGCGTGCTGCTCCTGCTGAGGGAGGTCGAGAAGGCCTTGCTGGAGGATGGCACGGAGGTGGACGCCAGGCTCCTGCCGCTCGTGGAGGTCGAGGGCGTTCGCAAGCGGCACTTCAAAGACTCGCTCAAGGGGCTCACCGAGACGGCCTGGCGGGAGTGGCCCGTGCGCGGGCCACGTACGACTGTCTGGTGTGCCAATTTCGTGGGTGACCAGGACAGTCATCCACGGTCGAGACACACTAAGTGGAAGGCCGACGTCGGGGTTTCTGAGTACGAGTTGTGTATGCGAGTATTGGAGCTGGCCATCACCTATGACCAATTGAACATCGGTGAACTGGCCAGCTTCGAGCTCATGCTCAGGCGCGCGCAGATGACGGAGTGGAGATACAGAGAGCGCGTGCTGGGGCGTCCACTCTTGGACGACACGGCGGAGGACGAGTTTCTCTACGTGGGGGCGGCGGAGACGAGGGGGCTACTCATGGTGGCCCCGGAGCTGCAGGCTCACATTTCGGACGAGCTGCACCGCGAGTCAGCGGTGCCCAAGGAGAGGCGCAAGCTCCGCGAGGAGCGCCTGGCGTCCCGCGGCCTACCACCAGCTGGCGGCGGCGGGGGCTCGGCGTCCGCGGCAGCGATGGAGGCGAAGATCAAGCAGCAGGCGGCGGAGCTCTCGAGGCTCCAGGCGAAGCTCAACCACGGCGGCGGGGGCGACCCAGGCACGGGGGAGAGGCAGGCCGCGGCCAAGGGCCGCGGCCGAGGCACCTAGTCGCCCTGATGATCGCGCCGCGGGAGCTCCTCCCTCTGAGGGGCCCTGCGGCTTCAGGCGCCTCGCCATCCGTGGTGGGCGTCAGCCGGGCTGTGCGGTCACGCGTTCGTCGACGCGCAGCCTGCTCGTCCTGGGCCAACGAGATCATCGACACAGTCAACAATTTGTACTTCCATGGCGAGGTACAGCAGCATCACTCCGTCTCAGCTGGGCAGCAGCTCGCCCTGAACCACATCCGCGACGTGGTGCAGCGAGCTGGACCGCCCATGATCGAGCCCGCGGCAGCCTTTCGAGTGCTGTGAGGATCGGCGCCAGGGTATACTGAGCCCTCGGCAGAACATTCACCCTATCGACGAGGCGCAGTCTCGTTGCCGGCTCCTGGAGCTGACCTTGCTCGTGGCGACGTCTGTCTTCGAGGACCGGCATTGCAAATGTGGACAGGGTGGCGAGACTGTCTCTTGCACCCCAACCCGGACCTCCCCGGGGCAGTGCGGCCGTACTCTGACCCCAAGCTGATTCGGGACAGCGGCACGTGCGCCGAGTTTTTGGTGGACACGGCACGTTCAGGGCTCGTCTCCTTCACGAGCGAGAGGCCATCCACCGTGGGAGTCTTCTTCGTAAAGAAAGGTCCAGATCGTCTCCGACTCATCCAGGACACTCGACGAGCAAACAAGTTGTTTTTTGATCCTTGCCACGCCCAGCTCTTCTACGCCATCGAGCTGTCCCTCTCTGTACTTGCCACCCGAGGCGGAGCTGATGATGTCCCAGACCGACGTCAACAACGCGTTCGACCGCATCCAGCTCCCCCCCGGCATGAACGACTACTTCATCCTGCCCAGCATCGACGCCAAGTGGATCACCGAGGCCGCTCCTGATCTGGCCCCTGGCCTCCCCGCGGGCATCCGCATCTCCCCGCGCATGGAGGTGCTGCCCATGGGGTTCAACTGGGCGTTATTCTCCTGCCAGGAGATGGTCCGCAACGCCGCGGAGGACGCTGGCTTCGCTGACGGACGGATGTTCCTGGACAGCCACTCGGCCCCCGACATCACCGCCGAGCCAGGCGCCGCCGTGTGCGTCGACGGCGTGGCCGCGGTGGGGGCGGACCTGGAGGCGGTCGAGGCCGGCGGAGTCGCCGTGGCCAAGCAGCTGGAGGAGCGCGGCCTCCAGGTCAAGGGGGTCGAAGGCCCCTCGGACTCCCAGACCTTCGCGGGGATGGTGTTCGATCGGACCTCCGGCCGCATCTCGCTCAGCCGCGAGAGGATCTGGAGGCTGCGCGCGGCCCTGCTGTTTGCTGCGGACCAGCGCTACTTGACTGGGCGCCAGATGCGGCGCCTGGTCGGCCACTACACGTGGAGCGCGACTCTGCGGCGTGAGCTCCTCGGCGTCTTCAGCGTCTACGCCTGGGCGGAGAAGGCGGGCGACGGGAGGTGGCGCCTGTGGCCTTCGGCCGAACGGGAGATCCGACAGGCCGCCGCCCTCGTGGCCTTCGCCTTCGCGGACCCCAAGCGCACGTTCCACGCCGCGGTCGTGGCGACCGACTCCTCAGGCGCCGGGCGCCGGGCTGGACGACGCCGGCGGCGGCGTGGTCACGCAGGAGTGGCCCGTGGAGAAGGTCCGGCGCTGCCGTGGGCACGCCGAGAAGTGGCACTACGGGGCGCAGGGGCTCGTCGCGGCCAGGGCGGCCGCGCTGGGCAGCCCCGCCGACCCCAGCTCGCCTCGCCCGACGGCGGAGAGCGGCGAGAGGACCACAGACTTCGAGAGCATGACGCGGGACGACATCGGGGCCTTCGAGAACTGGAAGCTGGCGTGCCGGGGCATATGGGCCCGGGCCGAGGGCGTCCTGAGGGCCGAGGGCCGAGCATGCATGATCGGCCTCCGTCACGAGCTGAGGTCCACGAGCACGCGCGGAAAACGTATGCTCTTTCTTGTGGACAACATGAGTGTGGTATTGAGTTTGGGTAAGGGTAGATCCAGCATCCATCAGATGAACTGAACATGTCGTGAGCTTCTGTGTCTGTCAGTTGTTGCCAATCTCCAGGTCGTGGTGAGATGGGTCGCCTCAGAGTTGAATCCATCCGACCGCGCGTCCCGACTCCCGGGCTCAGCCATCTCGCTGGGCGGGGGCGGGCCTCGCGCGGCGGGGGGCGATGTTGCGCCGTCCGAGGCCGTGCTCGCCAGCCGCTTCGATGCCGAGCTGGAGAGCGCGGCCCGCAGCCTTGGGCCCGCCTTTGGCGGGGACGCCTGCGGCCGCCCCCTCGCCGGCCTGGGGGGCCAGCTCGCTGCTGAGGAGGCCGGGCTCGGCGCTGCCGCCGCGGAGGCCGGCGAGCTCAGCGACGGCTCCTCCAGTTCGGGGGAGAGCTGGCCAGCCGGCCCTAGCGGCAGCGACGGCCAGGCGCCGCTGCGCACGGGGCGGGCCGACTGCGGCACGATCGACTCGAGCAGCATCACACGACTTGCGAGCCCGCCGCGGACAGCAGAGACGGCAGCACCAGGCGCGGGAGATCGCCGAGGCCCGGCGCCGCGGCTTCACCGGCCTCCAGATGGCCAAGATAGGGCCTCGCTCCCGCGCTCAGTACCAGAAGTTCCACCAGGCCTTCCTGGAGTGGAGCAGCCAGGAGGGTCAGCCACTGGACACCGACCTCCAGATCGACCGGGCCCTCAGCAGGTACATGGACTACCTGTACTACGAGGGCTTCAACGTGGACGCGGGCGAGAAGGTGATGGCGGCTGTGGCCTTCCACGGCCCAGTGGAGGGCATGGAGCTTCCAGGAGCTCGCCGGGCGCTGGCGGGGTTCCGGCGCCGGGCGAGCGCGAGGACCCGCAGCCCCCTGCCACTGGCGGGCGCCATGGCCATCGTGGGTGCAGCGGCAGCCGACGGCCAGCTCCCCTTTGCCTTGGGGCTGGTGCTGGCGTGGGAGGCCTACCTCAGGCTGCCGCCCGACCTCGTGAGCACGGTGGGCACCTCTCTGGTCAGGCCAGCCGCCCGGAGCCCCCAGGCGTGCTGGGGGCTGCTCCTGTTTCCTCAGGAGGGGGAGGCGCGCAGCAAGATGGGACACTACGACGAGGGGATCATGCTGGACGGCCAGTTCGGATCCACGCTAGCGCCTTTCCTTCGCCGGCTCAAGGCCCAGACCGCCGACGCCGGCCCGCTGTGGTCCTTCTCGAGCGCCACCTTCAGGCGCCTGTTCAACGAGTACGCCGCGAAGGTCAGCCTCGGAGGCAGGACCCCTACCAGGTCAGGCACGGGGGAGCCTCGCTGGACGCCCTGGAGTGCCGGCGCAGCCTGAAGGAGATCCAGGAGCGACTCCGCCACCTGTGCGAGTCCAGCACCCGTCGGTACAAGAAGGGGGCCAGGTACCTGGCCGAGGTCAACAGCCTCGACAGCCGGGCCCGAGCCTACGGCGAGCAGGTCCTCAGGCAGCTCGACGGGGTGCTGAGCGGGCGTGTCCGCCTCCCGCCACCGCCGGCCCTCGCCGGCGCCGCGGGCTGCGGGCGGGCGCGGTGATGCGCCAAGGCGACACCCTAGAGGCGGTGGAGCGGGCCTCGGACACCAAGGTGATCCGCCACCTCCGTCAGGGGCTCGCCCGGGCCAGCAGGCGGGGCCGGCGCCGTGGGCAGGTGTTCCTTGACTTGTTCTGCGGTGCCAGCGGCGTCGCCAAGGCCCTCGAGCGCCACGGCGACAACGGCTGCCTCCAGATCGACATGGAGGCCGACGTAGCCTTCGACCTCACCCGCCGCTCGGCCCAGCAGCTCATCTTGGGCTGGATGGCCGGCAGGCGCGTGCGAGGGCTCTGGATCGTCTTCCCATGCACGACCTGGTCTGCAGCCTCGCGGCACACGTACCGTCGCCCCGGAGAGCTCCGTTGCCGAGCGAATTTGACAGCAGAGCAAGAACACAAAGTGAGCATTGGCAATAAGACCCTTGCCGCCACTGTCCGTTTCATCAGAGCTGCAATCATGAGACAGATCCCAGTTGTGATCGAGAACCCTCTCACAAGTATGGCGTGGCAAGTCCCCGACATGAAGAGACTGATGGCACACCGCAGTTGTAAGATAGCTGTTGTAGACCAGCGCACGTTTAACACCCCCTGGAAGAAGCCCACAAAACTTGCAGGCTGGAGTGTTTCAGAACCGCCCGCCCCGCTCGTCCAAAGGTGTCGTGGGAAGTCTCTGTGCTGTAAGACCCTTCGGCCTCACCTCGTCCTCGAAGGTAGCCGGCGGACCGCTTTGGCTCAGGCCTATCCGCGGGGGCTGGCGGAAGCAGGAGCTCGATGGTTGGTCACTTCAGCCGATAGTATCGAGCACGCACACGTAGGGAGGTTGTTGCTTTAATTAACTCGTGCTCTGAGCTGCAGTTGCTAATTTAACCCTTGCTTTGTAAGAATGTGAGTGATTGCGGCACGGCCAGTAACATGAATGGGCCGTGGTGGGCTTTCCCCGAATAATCCTTCTGCCGACTCGGGCCCCAGAGACGGCTCGGTCGCAAGTCTCTTGACAGCACAGGTTCTCCTGGTTGCAAAAACAGTGCACATTGGCGGTTTGTAATTAAACACGTTGTGCAGAAGTCAGCAAGCCGACAAGGGACGGACGTGGGTCCGTGACCGTTTTTGCTCAAATGTTTACCTCCTCCTCCTCTCCTCCTCTTTCTTGCGCTCTCACTGTGGGGGGCTTTCCCCTAATAATCCTTCTGCCGACTCGGGCCCCAGAGACGGCTCGGTCGCAAGTCTCGTGACAGCATAGGTTCTCCTGGTTGCAAAATCAGTGCACACACACACACATATATATATATATATGGTTTGCGTTTTGTGTTATGTGTTTGCGTTGCTGTTGATTTATGGATGCCTGGTGCTCCTCCTGTTCGAGAATATGTGTGTTCATCTGTTCTACATTCGGCACTTGGTATGTTGTTTAGTTTTATGTGTGCAGTGTTTAGAGTTTTGAATTGTTTTACGTGGCAGTTTTTTGGACAAGATAGTTCAATATGTTCAGTTGTTTGTCTTGTATTTCGTTTGTTTGTGCATATTTTCTAGGCGAGCAATATCTTAATGTCCCTCGCAGTGCGAGGAAGGCGATCAGGTCACAGTTGATATTATACGTTCGTATACAAGAACCCTTTGACATTCGTCATCCACGTACATCACTTCCGAGTTGCATGTTCTGTGTTTCAGCGTTTCTCTTCTTTTTTTGTGTGGTCACTCGATACGTATTCCAGTATGTTGCTCTCGTCGTGCAATGTTTGCTAGCATATTATGTATGTTGTCTGATGTTTTGTTGTATCTTGTGCACGCTTAGTTGCCTCTCCGGAGTACGAGGGGTCCTAGCGGATTCATATGGTTGGGTGAGGTTCGTCGCAGATCTCGGTGGCCGGACTGGGGCCTGGGGGACCGGGGGGGCCCGGGTAATACCATCTCGCGAAAAAGATGTTTCCTTTCTTCTCCACTGACCATTTCTGACGCGTCAGTCGTCCGCCGCTGATGCCGTCGTTGTGGGCCTTCCGCTTTGATCGTCGGTCGGTCGAGGAGGAGGAGGAGGAGGAGCAGGAACAGGACGAAGAGGAGGAGGAGGAGGAGGAGGAGGAGGAGGAGGAGCAGGAGCAGGAGTAGGAGGGGGAGAAGGAGGAGGAGGAGGCGAAGAAGAAGAAGAAGGAGGAGGAGGAGGAGGTCGGTCGTCGGTCGCTGGCGGCGCCGGTCGCCCCGGCGTCCTCGCCGGTCGCCGGTGGGCGCGTCGCTCGCGGCGCTGCGGTGCGCGCAGAGGCCGCCCGCGCAGAGCGCCGCGCCGCGGGGTCGCCGCGGGCCGGGGGGCGGGGCGCCGCGCCAGCGAGGGGCGTCGGCGGCCCGCGGGCGGCGAAGGCTTCTCTGCGATCCGCGCCGGTCGGTCCTCGTCGGTCCTCGTCGGTCCTCGTCGGTCCTCGGTCGGTCCTCGGTCGATCCTCGGTCGATCGTCGTCGATCCTCGACGATCCTCGTCGGTCCTCGTCGATCCTCGTCGCCGTCGCCGGAGATCCAATGCGTTGGAACAAAAATCAAGACGGACGACGTTTTTCGCAGGTTTCGGCCCCTGGGGACCCTCAACGGGCCCCATAGGGCCGTGTAAACACGACTCAGGATGGAAAGCTGGTCCTGGGGAATGGGTCGAGCCTTCGGGGGCCCCGTATTGAAGAAAATGCGACATCGGATCTCTGGGTCGGTCCTCGTCGGTCGTCCGTCTGTCGTCCGTCGCCTTTGGTAGTCGACGTCGGTCGTCTTGGCATCGCTCGGACGCGTGCATTGTTGTTCTCGGCGAGGGTCATCGAGGAGCATTTTGGGTTATCCTGTGGAGGCTACACGCGCGAAGCCGGAAAATGCACGGGGAATGGACGTCCGTCGGCGAGTCGTGCGCCGTCCGTCGGTCGTCGGTCGTCGTCGCTCGGGCATCGTCCGTCGGTCTCGTTGTCGTGGTCGGTCGGTCGGTCGTCATCGCCTGTCGGTCGGTCAGCTGTCTGGCGGCGGCCCGGGCAGGGCTGGCCCGCCCCGCAAAGGGAGGATCGAGTTGGGCGTTTCGCAGCGGGAGTGGGCGAGTCATGTATCAGGAGGGAACAAAAAAACACACACAGACACAATCAATCGTCGTATGGGAGAATATGGAAAGTTGGGGGGAAGACAGAAACCCAGACAATATTGAAAATCTGGGGAATCCTATTATTCGTGTCTATTCATTTGTGTGTCCCAGGGCCCCTTCATGAATGCAGGCGGCGAGCGAGCGGGGGGGGGGGAACCTGGAGTCTCGAGGTGCGGGGCGCGAGGCGGTTTTCCATCGCTTTCGGCCCCCGGGGGCCGTGTTCGGGCCTTCGGGACCCGTCGAAATCGGGTCCGGGGGGAGCAAGCGCGTCGGATGGACCTCGGGAGGGGTCCGGGGGCCCACATTGACCGACATCCGGCGGCGCGCCCAGGGGGAAGCGGGAAGCGAGAAGGAGAAGGCCTTCTCAGAAGGCGGCGAGACTTCCCAGAAGCCCTCGCGCGTTCTGACAGGTTGCTCCGAGTTTCCGAATGAGCGTCGGGGGGGGGCGTCACCCCCGCCGACAGCCCCTCATCGACCCCCGTCGCGGGCAGCCACCGCGCGGCGAGGTGCTCCGACCCCCGTCGCGGCGCGACGACGAGGCGAGGTTGACCCCCATCGGGGCCCCCCCCCCCACGCCCAGTAAGAAACCCAGAGTAATTGCATCTTCAGGGAAGGCTGGGACATAAATCTTCTCAGAAGGCCAGGGGGCTTCCGGGTCGTCTGAGAAGGCCTTCGCCTTCTCACTTCACCCCTGGGCGCGCCGCCGAAAATCGAGGGGGGGGGTCGGGGGGGTGGCAGGAAAGGGGCCCTGGGCCGACCCCGACTGTGCACGGGATGTGCGCCTCCTCTCAGTTGATTGTCCCTCCCATTACGCAACGCCCAATCGAGGATCGAGGGTCGAGGGTCGAGGATCGAGGATCGAGGGTCGTGAGTTCGGGGAGGATCTTCTCCTTTTGGGGACTCATCCTTTGTGGGACTCTCGCTGGAGTTTCCTTGAAGGTGTTGGGCCCTTTTCGGCGTCTCGATATCCTGGCACTGGCCTCGGGGGGCGTCAAGAAATGACACGGTAGGAAGAGCGTGCACCGGGGAAAGGTCCCAGTCTTTTCGGGTAGAACCACGACGTCAGAGGTTCAGGCAGGGGGATTGGATAATTAAGGTTTGGGGGTCCGGGAAACATTTTGTGGCGAGCGGCTGGATCCGCCCAGTCGCAAGAGTTGGCTGGACTGGCCACGCACACCAGGAGCAGAGAGGCAGGACAGGGCGGAGAGGAAAAGGGCAAGGGCAAAGGGCAAGAGGGAAGGAGCAGGAGGGGGAAGAAGAGGAGGAGGATCATAAGCATGACCATGGTCGGAGTTCGATTTTTGTGTACGTACTTTGACCGTGCGGGTTCTTTTCCGGGGACGGTTCGTTGGTTGGCTCTTGTCTTTTAGGCGAAGGTGCGGGTCTGGTTGCGCGGGCGAGTTCGATTTTTGTGTACGTACCTTGACCGTGCGGATTCTTTACCAGGGACGGTTTGCTGTTTGGCTCTTGTCATTTGGCGAAGGTGCAGGCCTGGCTTCATGACGCCAACATCGCAGAGCGGATATCGCTCGGAAAACGAAGGGATGGGCCCAGAGTGTCCTGGCGAATTTCGTTTCGGATTTCGAGTTGAATTCGCGCGGATGTTTTTTTGGCCAGGAATGGAGACGAAAACAAATCCACGCGAAATTAATTTCGTTTCTCGCTCGCCGTTTCGGGGTTTTGCATTGGCAGAAATCCACGCACAATCCGCTGCAGCACGTCTGCAAGGCTCACACTATCCCAAAGTCATTGTCCCACGAGGGAGCATAAAGCGAGGACATGGCGAGGACCAAAGCGCCGACAGCGAGGGGGACGGGGAGGAGGTGGAAGCAGGAGAAGTGGGGTGGCAAGGGGGGCGAAAGAGAGTATACGAGGAGGAGGGGGGATGGGGGACGACGACGAATACGCGACGCCGGTAGCGGATCCTTGGCGCCGCAGCCGCCGCTGAGCCAGCCTCGAGGCGAGCGACGCAGCCCGCCGCTGCCGTCGGGGACCTGGGGATAGCTGCACCTCGTCGTGCCGAGAGGGGGGAGTAGTTTTCACAGTGAGTGAATACATGTCCGAGGAGAAGGAGGTGGCGGTGGTGGGTGTGGAGGCCGAGACACATGGCGACCCAGGGGCGCCAGATTTCAGCGCTTCGCGCGTCGGGGTTGGGGCCGCCTGGCTGGCCTCCCCCGAGGGCTGTGCGAGGGCGCGACGACATAATCGCGCGGGGCGAGATGCGCGAAGTTATTTGGATGACCTGAGGCAGGAGAACGCAGGATCGTCGTTTGAGGTTGAGGCGCTGGCGCTGCAATTCTGCTTCCGCAGTCATTCGTATAACGTGACGCGTGGTCTTGCGCCAACCAAGGCCTTGCGCCAACCAACTTTTAATAACCATCTTTCCTTTGGCTGGCCGCGCACGGCCTCAGGCTGAACCCAGAACCCAGAACCCAGGTCGCCATCCTCCCCGTCGTGCTCGTCGCCGCCACCGCAGCCACGGCCGCCGTCGCCGCGGCCTGCGCCCGCATCCTCGCCCTCCCTCGGTGCCGCTCCTCTCTGCCGCCGCAGAACCACGCCCTTGTCGCCCTCGCCCTCGTCCTCGCCCTCGCTGGCGCCGCCGCCCTCGCCGCCGCCGCGGCCGTCGTCGCCCTGGCTGCCCGCGCCGCCGCCGCCGGCCGCCAGCTGCTGCGGCCGCCGCCCGATGCCCGCCCGAGGGCCTGCCCGATGCCGGCCGCGGTGGCCGCGGCAGCCGCGGGGGGCTGCCTCGCCGGCGCTGGCGTCGGTGCTGGCAGCCTCGCGGCGTTGCTGCGGAGGCGGCGTCGCCGCCGTCGACGTCGCCACCGCCGCCGTTTTGTCGCCGTCGCTGTCGGCAGCGCCGTCGCTGCCGCCGCTGGTGTCGTCGTCGTTGTCGGCGTCTATACCTCTACCCCCCCCCGCCCGCTTTCCCCTTTGGGGGCCTCCTGGGCGGCCCTCGTCGCCACCGCTGGATTCGCCTCGAAAGCCGAGTCAGAACACACCCCAGGAGAGGTCCGGGATGTAGCGGTATCGGTACCTTTTTTTGGTTTCCCCAGTGGTCGCCGTCCTCGCAGGTGGCGCCGCTGGTGCCGCTGCCACAGCCTTCGCGTCGGCGCCGTCGCCGTGGCCGTCGTCGCCGCACTTTCCGCGGCGGCCGCTCGGCTTGCAGTGGGTTCAGCTCCGTGTGGGTTTCCCCCGCTTGGTTCTTGTCATCGTTCTTGCTGTGGCCGCTGCTGGGATTTTTATGGTCTCGTGTGGATGCCCATGGCGGTGCCCCCGGTGGCCCTGGTCGCCGCACATTCCGCGGTGCCACCTGGATTCCTACGTCCTACGGGCTCCTATGGATTTGCGTAGGTCCCTGCGTACTGAGATTGCGCCGCTTAGATTGTACCAGATATCGCATGGATTGCACAGAGTCGCTGGTTGGAGTCGGCGTTTTGGCAATGTGGTTCCAATGCGAAACCGGATGAAGCACCAGCAGATTTTCAAGAGCAGAGAGTCGTCGTCCTTCCTTATTTCGCCTTGTCTTTTTCCACAGCCGGGCAATTATTTGCCGCCTCCGATTGCAAATTCCAGTATATTTCTTCTTACACGTCCTCCCCCTCTCTTCCTACTCTTCGCCCGTACTCGCTGGCACAGATGGCGCAAGTCGTGACGAGCGCACCATGAGCATAAGTTGATTTCGCCGTAGCAGGGCGTTACGAGACCTTCCCTACCAGCTGTGCCTCGCCATCACCTCGTCCGTTGATGACTCGTCATCCTCCCCCCCAAGGATCCAGCGGCGTGGTTTTTGCGAGATATGGGCCCCTGGACCTCTCCACCCCTTCCCCAGGGCGGGTATTTCACCATGAGTCGTTTCTTGACACGGTCCTGTGCCCGAGACCCGAGTTCAGAGGGACAGGCGCGCATATAATCCGTATGGGTTTCTTCCTCTGCCGCGGGCCCTTTATCCATCAGAATTGGGTTTTTCAGTGAGAGCCACAGGCTGCGGCCTCAGAAGCGCGAGTCTGGCGTCATTCGCGAGGAGCTATAATTTACGAGGGCTAATGGCTAATTACATCGGGAGCGCGAACCTGTCGTAGTGAAGACAGGAGTGTAGCATCGGGGGCGCGATGCACGAGGGATCGTGGCGTCGGGGGAGCGAATCTAGCGAATCTACGACATCGTGGCCTCGAGAGCACGAGTCCGGAAGTTGCAAAGGATCGTGGCCTCGGGGGCGCGAAATTATTGCATTTTACTAGGGATCTCAGCGTCCGGGGGTGCGAACCTAGAGAACTTTACGAGGGAGCGTGGCGTCGGGGGGCGAAGCTGGCATGATTTACAACAGATTGCTGGCTTCTGGGGCCCGAACCCAAAGTATTTTGCGAAGCGGCATGTCTTCGGGGGCGCGAATCTAGTCTGATTTACAATGGATCGTGGCGTCGGGCAGGCGGATCGAATGCAGTTGACGACAGATCGTGGTCTCGGGAATAGGAATCTGGTGCCATTTTTACGGGATCGTGGTCTTGGAGCGCGAATCGGGTTAATCTACGAAGGGTCAATTGCTTCGGGGGCGCGAGGCTCATATATTTGTACTACTGGCAGACGCGATTTTGCCCATGAGCTTCTTGCCGCTCGCAGGCGTGGAGGCAGCTACAAATTTTGTGCTCGACAGTTTTGCGCGCCAAGTTCAGGGTGGTGGGTCTGTCGTCGTTGGGTCTGTCGTTGGGGGGCCTGGCGGTGGAGGTGGTACTCCTTCTACTTGCACTCCCCTTGGGAGCGCCCAAGGCTCACTGTCTGGAGTGCCAGTGCGTCCGGCAGCGGCCACCTCCTCCCTCGGCTTTGAGCTCGAAGGTGAGGAGGGTGCAGCGTCTGACCCTGACTCCGATGGCCCTCTCGGGCCATTTCCCAGGCGCATCCAGTGCGCGTGTTGGCTCATCCTCTAGTGAGGCGGGCGTTTCTGGGGCTGCTGCCGCAGCCCCCAGCGTGGCTGGTGCATCTTGTGCACTTCAGGCCCCTTGTCCCGCTGCCCCTTTTTCCTCCTCCGCCTCTGTGAGCACGCCTGCGATTCAGGCGGTCTGGGACCGTCTCCTTGCGGAGGCAGTTTCTTTTGCGGCGGAGGAGATCGGATCCGACGGTTTTGCGTCGGGATCCGATAAGGTGGCACTTCATCATCATGTTGATGCCAAACAGTCAGGAGGGGAAAAAACACACAGACACAATTAACCGTCGACTCCCAGGAAAATATGCAAAAATATGGGATGTGAGGGGGAAGACAGAAACCCAGAAAATATGAAAAAATATGGGGAATATTCTTATTTGAATGTGTATTTGTGTGAATCCTGGGCCCCCTTCAAACAAGCCCTCCAGAAACTTGGAGCCCGCGATCCGAGGAAGGCAACAGGCGAGTTTTCGGTTTCCCCTGCAGACAGTGACAATTCGCAGCAGGCCGCAAAGCATTGAGCTACGAGAGTGGACACTGAAATCTTGCACCCTGCGCAGAAGCAGGACCTCCGCCGCTCAGCCCGATGGCCCAGACAGGGGGGCCAGCGGATGAACCGCCTCGTGTGTTGTTCGAGCCGCCGGATCTCTGGGTACCTGACGTAATCTCCAGCTGGCCTTTGGTCTCCAGACGAGGCCTCTCACGCAGCTCTTGTTCGGGACGGCTCTGGCCTCCCCAGAACGAACCCCGAAGAGGCGCAGCCCCTGGCAAGCGCCCCAGGCCCCGAACATTTGCGATGCCAAAGCAGGAGGAGGCGGTGGAGGGAGCCTCCGCAAACCTCAGACATCTCTCGCTGGATCTCCGGGGGGTGCCTCGAGCTTGGACTCTGGATACTGTTCCAGACGCCCAGAGCGCCGCAATGCATGCACACAGATCCACATCCTCGACCTTGGATCCCTGAGCCTCCATCTGTTCCTCGGTCCGCCTCGATCCTGGATGCTCCTCCTTCTCCTCCTCCCCCTCGTCCTCTCTCGTCCTCCTCCTCCTCCTCCTCCACCTCCTCCTCCTCCTCCTTCTCCTCCTCCTCCTCCTCCTCCCCAGCATTGTTGATCTTCCTCGATTTTCCTCGATCCTCGATCCCTCCCGCGGCCGGGATCGCCCAGGGAGAACAAAGAGGGATTAGGACGACAAGGTGGAGGAGCGGAGGAGGGAACCTCCGAAGACCTCAGGAAACGCTTCCCCCCTCGTTCGGGCAATAGCCATACCGATGCCAACGACTTTGTGTGTTGCTTCGAGACTGCATGTCAATAGCCCGAGACGCAGCGGATCTGGATAATGATTATTGTGCATGTCCATTGCGTCTCGGGTTTGTTGGGATGGGCGTCCGAACCTCCGAGACGGAGTGGATCTGTGTCTAAATATTGCCCGCTTTCCGGTTGCAAATCCAAGGAGGCCAAACTCAGCGTGTCGGCGTTGGTCTCTGCGTGCGCCAGACCCGATCTAGTGTGGCATACCCCGCTCAAATCTAGGACAGCCTCGGTGCGTTGGGACTTGAGTTGGTTCCATGGTCCCCTTACGCAGGCTCAGCTCCTCCTCCTCCTCCTCCTCCTCCTCCTCCTCTTCCTCCTCCTCCGTCTACCTCCTACCTCCTACCTCATCCTCCTGCTTCTCCTCCTGCTCCTCCTCCTCCTCCTCCTCCTCCTACCTCCTACCTTATCCTCCTCCTGCTTCTCCTCCTCCGTCTCCTCCTCCTCCTCCCCCTCCTCCTCCGCCTCCTCCTGAGGCCTCCTGACGGTTCGGTTTTGGGTGGTCCTCGTGGGGGCCTTTTTGTGTTGATGCATCGGTGTGTCCGGAGAGGTTCCAGCAGGACAAGGTACAGCAGCCTGTTGGCGGCGTCACCCCAACATATTTCTACCATACACGAAGGTCGCTGAAAGTAGGTATTTTTGGAGCCCCAGATCCCAATCTACTTCAAGCACCTTCCTACTTCAAGAACCAACATGCTTTTGCTGTGTTTTGTTATTATCTGGGAGGACCTGGACCCAATCTACTATATCCGCCTTCCTACTTGTGTTTCTACGTGTATACTATATATGCGTCGCCCCCTCAGGGGCGACGCGCGCACCCAGAGATCTTATAGTATATGCGTCGTGGCGGGCGCTTTCTGGCCACACCGCTCGGGACACGATATACTACAAGACAGGTCGGGTATACTATATGTTCGGGTCGGACGCGCGCCCCCAAGGAGGACGTGCGTCCCATGTTGGGGCCGTCTTGAGGCTGTGTTTTGTCTGCTTCGGGGCTCCTCTGTGGGCGTGTTGGAACCCTTCTTGAACGTCCTGGAAGGCACCTTGTGCTTCTTTGAGGCCTGGGAGGTTGAAACTGCACGGGAGGCCCCAGGATCCCGTGAGGTGCGTCGACGAGTGCGTCGCCCTTCTGACGAGATTTTGAGCTTTGGGCCAGGGGTAATCAGAGGAGGGGGACAGCCAGCTGTCTCACACCCCTTCATATCCCTGGCAAGCGGGGGTCCGCGGAAACCCCTGAGCCGTTGCCACGAGGACCTCCCGGGAGCTGCCTTCCTCCCCTGCCCCTTCGACCCCGTCGATCCTCGTTGATCCTCCTCGATCCTCGATCCTCCGCGATTCTCCTCGATCCTCCTCGGTCTCGGTCCTGCATCCTCCTCGTCATCAATCCCCCTCGTTCCCTGATTCCCTCCCGCGGCAAGCGTTCTCAGGAAGAGCAAGATCGGCCCGGACGACAAGGAGGTGCGCCCAGACGGTTACAGTTCCGCGCCCACGCCCCCGCGCCTCGGCCGCCGTCGCGACTCTGGGGGTGCGCTGGCACATGGGGGAAGGAGGCGGAGGAAGGCGGCGGCTTCTCGTGAGAGTCCAACGACGGTTCGGTCGAACGAGCATCGTGAGGTGGAAGAAGGCGGAGAACGAGGAAGCGGAGCAGGAGGAGGAGGAGGAGGAGGAGGAGGAGGAGGGGAAGCAGGAGGAGGAGGAGGAGGAGGAGGAGGAGGAGGAGAAGCAGGAGGACCAGGAGGAGGAGGAGGAGGAGGAGGAGGAGGAGGGGGAGGAGGAGGAGGAGGAGGAGGAAGGTTTGGCCTGAGCGCAGGGGCACACGTCTGGGACTGTACTGCCCCTTACCAGGCTAACCTCACGCGCGTCTCCTGATAGGACCGCGCCCCGTTCTGCTTGTGCTCTCTCTTGGCCACGGCGAGGCCTTGGGAGGGAGCGGACCATCGGCGCCAGCGCCGACATCGCTCGTGGGCGAGAACGCTGGCGCGCCTGGGGCAGGCGGCAGGCCTGCTTCAGGACCACCACAGTGCGCAGCAGCCGCCCAGGCAGATGAATGGCACCGCCACGAGCAGCCAGATGGTCAAGTGCGAGGCCTGCGGCTGCGGCAAGAACCTCGGCTGGTGGCGTTGGTGCAAACACTGCCGTGGGCCGTTGGTACCATCCGAGCCGCCACCGCGGCAGGGGCCTAAGCCAGGGCGTGGGGCCGCTCGCTCGCCTGCTCCTCACGCTGGTGCTGCTGGCAGTCGGCGCGAAGCGCCTGCTCATCCCTGGCGGCGGACCTCGCAGCCTCCCAGGCGGCAACCTTCTCGCGAGCGGCAGCCCAGCCGCGCTCCGCCCCAGGTCGCCTTCGATCTGCGGCCTGAGATCATCGACGGTGAAGTTGGTGACAAGGAGGAGCAGCGCCTGGTCAGCCTGGTCAAGCTCCTCAGCGAGACAGGCGACTCTGCCGCCGCTGCCACCTACCAGAAGAAGCTCGATGACCACCGCCAGAGCAAGCTCGACGCTGACATGTCGGTGGAACTTGCGAAGGCCCGCATGGACTGGGCTGAGGCCATCCTTCGTAAATCGGTCGACAAGTGCGAGAAGCTTGATGCCCAGGTCGAGCAGGCGCAGAGCGAGGTCCAACAGCACAGCGACGAGCTGGACGCAGCGCGAGCCCACTACCAAGTCTGTGTGCGCAAGCTGCACACCAGCACCGTGGCGGGCGAAGAGCCTACGAAGCCGCCCACGACCAAGATCGACCTGTCCAAGCTCCTGGATGGGGAAGACCTGCTGCTGGACGACGGCGACGCGTTCGGCCTCGAGGCCCTGGGCGATGCGGTGTCGCCAGAGGACCGTGCCGAAGCAATGCGCAGGAAGGAGCAGCTCTCAGCGGAGTTCAAGACGGCGCTTGGCACGCTCTTCGGGACGCTGCGCGAGAAAGCGGCAGCGCTGGGCCAGGAGCAGCAGCGGCACATGGAACGCCTATCGGCCAAGAAGCGGAAGTCCAACGCCAGCGGCGACGAAGGAACACCTGGAGGAGCGGCCGTCCTTCCAGAGGCCACGCCCGGGATGGAGGCACCGAAGGAGTCGGCACCCGCGGCGGAGCCCACGACGGCCCAGCCCCCCGCGTCGAGAGGGGCAGCGGCGGCAGCACCCGCGGCAGAGCCCCCAGGGCGTCAGGGCCCGAGCAAGAAGGCCAGCCCCACGGTCAAGGCGGCCAAGGACAAGTTGGAGCAGGCCTCCAAGGCGGCCAGTGGCAAACCAGCGCCGTGCGTTTAGCAACTACACCTTTGAATCTCATCAGCAGTGCCCTATTTTGACTGTTACTCCGTCGAGAGCAATGAGGGGCATCTGCAGCAACTTCCCCTACAACAGCGTCAGTCTTGTGGCAGTGCAGCCTGGTGGGGGCAGGCCTACGTGTAGCCATGATGGTGATGCACCTCCCTACATTCCTGAAGATGCGCATCCTGGGCATGCTGATGGAGCCCGTGGTGACTGCAACCCCCGTCAGCTGGATGCCTCCCTTTCTCTCGCGGAGTTCGCCAATGATCAGAGGCGCCCCCGACGCACGGTAATACGAAGCAGCCCTGCGCCGAAGATCGAGAGGGAGATCAAGCGCCGGGCACGGCGGCGGGTCCACAACGCACGCGTTTGGGAGGAGGCGGACGCAAAGGATGCCTGGCACGACTGGTGCGAACACTATGTGGTGGAGCTACTCAGGGCCCCCAAGTTCCAGTGGATGCTGCAGGCACACGGCTCCACGGCTGAGCAGACGGCCAAGGAGCTATGCGACCGTGCCTGGCGCAGTGGGGCGCGCAGCCGAGCAGCTTTTCTGAAGTGGCTTGATGCCCTCACTTTCAGCCAGTGGCTTGCCGCAACCTCGATCCACAGGCAGGAGCATGAGCTCTTGAAACAATGGATTGCGGACCCTGACAGGCAAGGTTCGGCGCCGCCGACTGGGCCTTTGCGCCAGCGGCCGAGCTGGGCGCCGACGTGTGATGGGTTTTGGACTTCGGCTGTCTCGGCGTCCTCTGGCTCTGACAGCGACGATGACTGGGTGCCCGGCAACGCCAGCTTCGGCGACCTTGACGATGTCAGCGGGTCCGACGACGATGATTGGAGGATGGTCAGCATCCCAGAGGGCCACTCCCAGGGGAAGAGTTCCATGCTGAACACCGGGTTCCACGATGACGATGATTGCTACAATGACACTCACGGCGACCAAGGCGTTAGAACGCACGCCTCAAGTCCTGGTTCTGCCAGGCTCAACGTCGCCACCTGTGCTGGCCCGACCCTGGACGCCCCAGCCACAGGAGGATGGGGGCACTGTGCATGGGAGGGTCAGCGCAGGGATTTGCTGGACGCCAAGTCTGACGACGACGCCGATGAGCGCACTGAGAGTCATTGTCTTCGTGCACTGTTGCGCGCATGGGCAGGTACGTGGTTGCACCCTGAGCCTGCAGTACATGATGAGCTCGATGCGCGCCAGAGCTGGCGATACTTCTGCGTGCCGCACGCTTTCAGGGTCCTCTCCGAGATGGTTTTCCAGCCGATGGTGGCCAGGACCGCTGCCCTTCATGGCGTCGATATGCTGGAAGGCAGAACGATCTTGGCTTGTGACTTTTGCAGCAGCACTTGGTCTGACCAGGCGAGGGCAAGAGATCGCTACCAGGCACACTTTCTGCGTCTGCGCCGTGTCTCGGCACAGGATTATGATGAAGAGGTACGCCGTCACATCGACGCGCAGATGGGCACTGCGGCTTGGATGGAGACCCATGCCCAACCGCAGACTCGCCAGACGCAGCCGGCTGCCAATGCCAGCTCGGCCACCTCAACTACCGCGCCGTTGGCACCTGCATCACCCCCGACAAGCTCGTCAAGTGAAGGCGCAGCACGCGATGCGCCTGCTGATACGGATGGCAGGCAGGCCGCGCCCAGCCCGCCGTCGGCAGCGTCGTGTCCTGGCAGGGGCGAAGGGAGATCTCGCAGGACAAGACCAAGCGGAGGGATAAAACTTGGAGGTTCTTATCTTCGAATGCTAACTCTTGGGGCAGCTTTCAGGACAGCCTCGAATGGCAACTTACCCTGGGCCAAGATAAGCCAGACTTCGTGGTTGGGCAAGAGACGAGGCTGGGGCCAGGGGACCCCACCACCAGAGGGGAGTCCTGGCTAAGCTATCGAGGGTATGGCTCCAGTTTCTCCCGTGCCGTCAGCACGGGTGACCATGTTCTGGCCACGTCTGCAGGTGTTTGTGTTGGCATCAGGAGGACCGTCGTCTCCCGCGCCATCTCAGGTAACCAGCTCAGCCTAGGCCCGGTTGCTGCAGGCCGCGTGGCAGCGCAGTTTGCCCAGGCCATTGTCCCACCAGGCATCCATTGGATTTCATTGTATGGCTACCCTGGGGCTGGCTGTTCGGGGCTAATTTGCAGATCCTGGAATCTCTGGCTGGGTTTTTGGAGCGTCTTACAACGCCTTGGGTGATTGCGGGGGACTTCAACGTGGATGCAGGTTCGGATGGGCTACACCGATGGTGCGAACTTCTAGGTGCTGCTGTGGCGGCCCCCTCTGGGCCAACGTGCAACAAGCAGTGCGTAGATTTTTTCGTCGTGTCGCAGGGCATGACCAAGGCAGTCAAGTCGGTCGCAGCCTTCTATGCAGCCCCTCAGTCGCCCCACGCGCCCATCCTCATGGAGCTCCAAGGTTTCTCCCTACACCAATCAGTGACCGTTCGCAAGATCTGGACCCCGTTCCCCGCTCAGAGGCCAATTGGATGCGCGCGGCAGCTCACGGCGGTGCAATGGTCTTGGGACACTGGGAGGCCCCCCGAGACGCTCAACTTCGAAGCTGCTTGGAGTGAATGACTCACCAACATGGAGTTGAACCTGTGTGAGCAACATGATATCGTTGGACCTGCTAGGGATAAGTATGTTGGTCGTGCCCAGGGGCCCCAAACCTCCCAGGCCCCCCTGCATAAGGTGCTCGAGAGGAAGTGGCACGCAAACAATACCCCCAAGCTTAGATGCTGGAGAGCTCTGGAGGCCATCCTGATGAAGCTTAAGGTCACCCGAGCGCACCTGGAGGCCTTCCCTGAGAACCACCTGGAGATCCTGCTGGGCCACTTGGAGGAGCTTGATAGGGACCTCTTGGAGCCAGACTTTGTGAAAGCCAAGATATATTACCAGAACTTCTTGACGCAAGCGAGGGTGGCTGGACCAGAATTCGATACGCTATCTGATGAGGTGGCTACAACTGCTGAACGTGTGGTGCCAGCCGAGTCCAATGCTCGCTGGAAACGATGGCAGACGTGGGCCCGAGCGTCGGCCCAGGCCGGGGGTAAAGAGGCTCACAGATACATCAAAGATAAGCAGCAGATTAAGCCACCCACAGATAAGGCAGGCCTCCCGCTCTTAGGGGGCGCTGCGGTGCAGAAGTTCGTAGATGAGTGGAGCGTCTACTGGCAGGACGCGAAGTCGTGCCTGACCAAAGTGCAGACCCTGGAAG